CCTCTCAATATTTCTAAGTCTTTTTTGTAGACAGATACACACACACACACATATGCCTTCAAGGTAAAATAGTTTATGAGTTCACATTGGGAGTTCCAATTCAAATTCAGGACTTCAGAATTTTTGTTTAAGCGCTTCCATACTACACCTGTATTTCCTTTCTTCCACACTGGCAATCCTGGTTCTCAAGGATGCAAAGAATAATAGAATTAGAGTATCCTATGTGCTGACTACATTCCTCATTCTCAGCATAACAATGTTAATATTATGCCAACACCAGTAAAATTTCTGAGCTCTGCGAAAAATGTCTGTGTGTGTGCTCTCTCCATTTTTCTCCCATTTAAAATAGTTGTGTCATATCGACACTATCTGACGGTATAACCAATATTTCTTCTCCATTGTAACTTTCACTTAGTCTTGGTGTTCGGTTTCATGCTGACTACTAGTCCTCGTGTCATTATCTCTTTAGTCATTTTGGTTTCTCTGAAGCTTATTTTTGAGTAGATTCTTGAGAAGGTGATCAGAAGAGTAATATTGTTTGAGAGCATCCTTTTTTTCCCCTTATAAATCACTTGTTCTCATATAGTAATTTGTAATCTTCAGTTTCAAATCCTTCTTTTTCTATTACAGAAGGTTTTTTGAAGTACAAGTTTTTGTATTTGTTCCATTCCTTTGATTTGGTTTTCCTTTTCAGGAAATTCTTTTCCTTGCCTGTATTCAATATCTGTCACTGTCTTTCAAATCCTTTTATCTATTCTTTTATTCCTATTTTATTTTTAAAATTTCCTTCCATTTCATCTTCTATTTCTCCTGAGGCATTATTTATTGCATTATTAATTCTTGCTTTCATTCCAGTTCAGTCCTCATATTTGTAATTAATTTTTTGTTTTTTATTTCTATTTCTTTCCTCAGTTCTGTTACCTCATTTCTGAATTTTTCTAATTCTGACTTGTGTAGTTCTTTCATGTCTTATGTCATTTCCTTATGACTTTTAGCTTGTTTTGAAACAGGGTTTCAGTTTTAATCTGTTCTAAGGGCATGTCTTTCTGTGCTTTTATTGTCTGTGGGGATGTTATTCTGTTCCTCTTTCTATTTTTTCTTATAATAAGTTTATATGGGATTTGTCTGGGTTACTTTCCTGTTGCTCATTATTATGTGAATCTCTGGAAGCATGCTTGATTCACGATAGCTCTTCTAACTTTACGGAGCTCCCTATTCTGTTGTCTTCTTGCAATGACCCAGAATATGGTGGCTGCTCCCTGAGGAGCAGGTTTCCTGGTTCTCTTTGCTGCCCACCACGTTTATGTGGACTCTCACATCTCAGTCCTACTTGATTTTGACTTTACTCCCAATGTGGGCCTTGGTTCAGAAAGGGAGCCCTGACGGGCCAGTTTCAAGACTTCATAGGGTCCAAATTATTCTGTAATTCCCCCTTAGCCTTAGTTTTTATTTATGAAAATTAGCAATGATAACACCTAATCTACAAGTCGTGGGGATTTCATGACATGCCTTACATATACATTTCAGATACTTCATATAAACTT